TTTCCTCATTCCGTGAAAGGTACTATCCTCCCAGTTTCTCAAGCTCCAAACCTAGTCATCGCTACTTCATCATCTCCCACATCTGTCACTTTCTTAGTTCTGTCCGTTCTTCCACCATAATATTTTCCCCACCTATCCTCTCCTCTTTATCTCTGTCCCACTGCTCAATTCAGGTCTCATCATCTCTTACCTAGATTGTTGCAGTAGCTTCGATAGATGGTCTCCCTGCCCACAGCCTCTCTTCCTCCAGTCCATCTTCCACAGCTCTCAGAGTGGCTTTCTACAGGACAGCTCTGACCATGTCATCCCTGCTTGGCTAGTTAGTCACTGGGTGAGGTGCTCAGAGTTTGATGCCAGCCCCCTTTCTGGATGCAGAGAGTATGGGAGAAAAAGAATGGCTCCCCTCCGATAGAGATAGTTCTGCTATAGTAGTTCTCACACCCTCTTTGTTTTCTTTGCACTAAGGTAGATTTGGAGCAGGAAGGCATTAAGAAAGTGACATTGCATTTTGGGAATCTTTATAAGAAAACTCAAGTTTTGTAAGGAGAGCAAAGTCCAAAAAGCAACATAATGCAATGCAAGGCATCATGGGCCCTGGGTTTCCACGAGATTGTCCGGAAACAGTGCCTGAGGTGGTGGTAAACCAATCCAAGGCAGAGAGCAGAAAAAAGAAAGATGTGGATTCCCAAGATGAGAACCAGATGGCTAAAGAACAGTCAAGAATTGAAGAAGGGTCAATGAGTAATTGAAACGAGGGCTTGTGTTTACAGAGGCCCAGACAGTCAGAATCCTGCCAAACTCAGCTGCACTGTCCTTTGTCCAGGGGTCCTCCTCATTTCACTCCCCACTTGCAGTTCTTGAGGACTCTGCCCAGATTCTGACAAGGGAGGCCTGTGGTCCAGAGATCAAGCCAACTACCATTAGAAACAGGGCCCTTGGGGTGGGCCGTTCACTCTTGACAGTCTGGGGTTCTTAATCTGAAGCCTATTTACTGTCGGAGCTGAACCACAGAAGTGTAACATGCTTTCTTGGATACAAATAAAGACAGGAAATGTCCTTTTGCAGAGGGAAAAAGCCAGAGGTCTGAATAGTACTATACCAAAAGCCAGGAGATCTGGGATTGGTCCTGGTCCCTTTCCCCCTTTCATTAACTCACTGTGTGTAATTTCAAACAGGTAACTTTTTTTTCTCTGGGTCTCAGTTTCCTCATCATTAAAGCAAAGGTATTGGAATTCGGCAGTTCTCCACCTGGGTTGCACCTCACAAAGGCACAGACACACACACATTCACACATATGCCCAAGTCTCACCTCAGACCTATTGAACCCCAAAGCTGAGGGTGGGATGCCAGTATGTGTTGTTTTTGTAATGCTATAGGAATATTAATGAATACTCCTAGATAAGACCACTGCAACAGATCAACTCAAAGGTCTCTTCTAGTTCTAACATTCTAGAAGTCTGACTCCCAATTTCCAGTCCCTTCTCTCCTCCTCTGCTGTTGCCAGAGTAATCTTACTAAAGCAGTAGCACTGACAGAAGGCAAGGCAAATCTAAGAAATCTGGAGATGTATTCACTATGTGGGGAAATGAGGGAGATGAAGATGATTCTCAAGTGTCAAGACTAGGAGCCTGAGATTAAGATCATTATTGACAACTGACAAAAACAGAATAACTGGAAAAGAAAAGCAGTCTAAAAGATGAAGACATGGTAGACATTTCGTTTAGTTTGCCATCAGCACCCGAACCTTCTTTCTGTTTGGGGGAATGCCCCATTCTATGCAGCATTGCTGAAACTAGGGAAGCTGAAGCAGGGAGATAGTCTCCCTGTCCCCTAGCAGCCAGCACATGACATCTGACCTAGGCTTAGCCACCTGGCCACTCCTCTCTGAACTGTGACTCTTCAGAGAATGATGCAAAGACATACTGCCAAATTTAGAATTATTCAGAGCAACAGAGGCAGTAGGTGTTCAAAGACAGTGGGGCCCTTGGGGGTTGGGGGTTGGGGGTTGGTGTCCCTGCCATGGATGGTGGCCATGTCAGATTGTTCTTGAGGCATGAACTTGGCTGTGGGGCCTGCTGCCTGGCCTTTCTAGGTTACCACCCATTTTCCATATCCAACTCCCCAGACTTCCTGTCAACAATTTGTTTCCTTTCAGTAAATTTCCCTTTTTCTTAAATTGCAAGTTCTGTTGTTTGTAAGTTACAAGTTCTGACTGAGACACTGGTTTGTTGTTTTTGAAGTGTCACCTGAAAATTGTCGTCAAAGGGGCTTTGTAAGTCATAAAACAACCCAAGAAGCTTAGTCTGACAGTCTCGAATAGCACAAGCCCGAGTATGATGTGTTGCTTGTTTTCTAAGCCCTCACCTGTACCACAGACCACCATGGGAAGTGGGGCTCCTAGACTCACTTTAATGCCATCCTCCAAGTTGCCAATGGGAACAGATAGCAGTGCGGCCATGCCTGCCAGTGCTTCCTCTCCAGCTGCTTTTGCTCTGCCCCTCCTCCCCTACTTTCTGAGGACTGCTTTGCTGCCAAAATTACCTGCCATCCTTCTTACCTGGATAGCTCTCCATGGCCCATACCACCACTATCCCTTCAGCACTTCTCATTCATTCACATCCCTGAAAACCTTCCCTCTTTTCTCTTCCCTCTTCCCTCCAGCTGGAAGTGCCAGCTTCTCCCTGCTGGACTGAAAAACTCCCCCAAGGTGAAGACAGGCTGTTCTCCCTGCAAACCCAAGGACAACTTCTTGCCACATCTAGGAAGGAGGAGGCTGTCTCCCAGACCTCACAAGCACCTCTCCTTTACCCTCCTCATGTCTTCTGGTGGCATCTTCTTCCTACCCTCTTTCTTCCTCAAGCCAGATTTCCCCTTGAGATTTGGCCCCTTCCCTTTTGCTTTAAAGATTCTCGCTACACTATTACTCAACTTCAGTTCCTTCCCTTTTGTTTCAGAGGAAGAAGTGGTTCTTTTTGCAAAGCTAACCCTTCTACCTATCATCTTCCCAGCCTCCTCCAGGTTCTTTCCAAACACTCTACAAATAAGATTTGATCCCTGGCCCCCTTAAGAGCACAGTCTAACAGAGAGGCAAAACTATTAATAAATAATTGTAACAGAAAAAAAGAGAATTATAACAGAATTACAAGCTCTATAAAAGACATATAAGGTACTATGGAAGCAGAGAGCAAAGTTGGGGAGTGGGATGGAAAAGGTTTCACAGAGGCGGGAACATCTGAGCTCTGTTTTGAAAGATGAGCAGTTCACCAGGTAAAAAGGGGAGGGCATTCCAGGCAGAGGGAAAAAACAAGAGCAGAGACACAAAGGTAGAAAAGTTCAGGATCTGCGTGGGACTGATAAGGAATTCGATGTGGCTACAACATTGGGTTGGACATGAGGCTAAAAAATTGGGGAGGAAAAGAAATTAGAATATATTGAGCAACTACCACATGCTAGTGCCTGCTAAGCAATAATATATCTATCTCCTTTAAACCCAAAGTAACTCTGTAAGGTTGGTATATTGTTATTTCCATTTTATAGAGAAACAAACCCAGAATATTGAGGGACATTAAAATATTTGATATTTGGACCAATATTTGAATTTTATTAGAATAACTCTCAATTCTATAATTATCTNGGAAAAGGTTTCACAGAGGCGGGAACATCTGAGCTCTGTTTTGAAAGATGAGCAGTTCACCAGGTAAAAAGGGGAGGGCATTCCAGGCAGAGGGAAAAAACAAGAGCAGAGACACAAAGGTAGAAAAGTTCAGGATCTGCGTGGGACTGATAAGGAATTCGATGTGGCTACAACATTGGGTTGGACATGAGGCTAAAAAATTGGGGAGGAAAAGAAATTAGAATATATTGAGCAACTACCACATGCTAGTGCCTGCTAAGCAATAATATATCTATCTCCTTTAAACCCAAAGTAACTCTGTAAGGTTGGTATATTGTTATTTCCATTTTATAGAGAAACAAACCCAGAATATTGAGGGACATTAAAATATTTGATATTTGGACCAATATTTGAATTTTATTAGAATAACTCTCAATTCTATAATTATCTGTGAGGAATAAAAATAATCTAAGCAGATGTCATCCCACCCCATGGAGCTGAGATATCATTGGAGAAAACACAGTGCAGCCAACATTCATTTATTCAACAACTATTTATTGAGCACCTACCACGTGGCAGGATAATATGAGTGCTGAGAATTCAGCCGTGAACAAAGCAGGCAAGGTATGAATGCTGAGCCAATTTTGGTGGGCCCAGCTTTAGTTACAGTATTTGGCACATTCCAGATGCTGTGGAATGAATGAATGTTATCCCCTTAGTTATGCCTTTAATGTCTAGCAAGGTTCAAAGTACAGTACATTGTCAAAAAGAAAATTTTGTTTAACAAGCACTTTGGTGGAGAAAAAGAGATCTTTAATTTCTTTAAATTTCCCCTGTAGATACCTATATATCCACCTAGAATCTGTCTCTCTACACCTCCCTCCTATCCCCTTGGTCTTTCTTCCCCTCTTCCCTACCCTCAGAGTCCCTAGCCTTCCTGCTCAAGGCTCTGGCCTAGGATCCAAGCAACCAATTCCTTCTTTGATTTAGTGGTTCTTTTTTTGAAGGAATAGAGATAACTTTAAGAAGTCCTTTAAGTTCTCAAAGATCATACTCATAAAATAAAATAAAAAATCCTTTAAGTTCAACATATATAGTGAATGAGGAAATAAATGGGCAAATTGCCTTCCCTAAACCCACTTCAGAGTAAAAGAGCCAAAAAACAAACCTATCTCTGCTAATACTGACCACCTGTTACAATGTAAAGAACATGCCTTATTCTGGTGGAGTCTGCCTCTTTTTCCCATCTCACCAACGAAATCCTATTACCTTCACTTTGTCTAGACCAAGTGCCCCAGAAGGAAGGGCTCATGGCCCTACTCCAGGAAAGAGGGAGAGAGAGAGAAAAAAAACATTTTATCATAAATAAATAGATAGTTATACTGACCAGAATGGAGAATTTGCCTCAGACGAGAGCACAGTGATGGAATCAGAAGAAAAAGTCAGGGAGGTTACAAAACAGCCTCCCAAAGATTGACTTCCTCTAGTTTGGAAATAAACAGATACGAAGTGGGTTCCGCTGGAAGCTGAGAACAGAGAGCTTGATGATCTCCCAAGTTCCTTCGTCCTGAGGGAGGACAGGATTCTATACTAATTGACCAGTGAGAAACCTGATTGGTTCTCTTCTAGAAGGGTCATTGTCCCACAGTTCTTTGTTTCCTAGGATCCAGGCTCTGCTACCTCCCTCCATCCTGACAAAAGCCTAGGGCCTGCTCCTAGGACTGTGATGCCCCCGAGAGACCACCAGGGGGCAAACTGAGACTACTGAGCTCTCCCCACGGTCTCTTCCACCCGGTTTCCATGGAGCCAAACTCAGAATATCAGAGCTGGAACCAGCTTTAGAAATCTTCCAAAGGCTTCTGCTCAAACCACTTTACTTACAAAGAAAAAAAACAAGGTCTAAAAGAGGGAAATAATTTGTCAAAGCCACATAGTAGGAACCAGAAACCAAGTCCCCTGGTTTCTCCTATCCTATACATGTTCCACCACACCTAGCTACTCCTGTCTCATATTTAATTCTAGAATACATCGGTTTTTAGTGGTATCTTTCCCATGTAAAGGACTTGTCTCTACAATTAGATTATAAATCCTCAGGACCAGGGACCATGTTTTGGCTCATATTGCACATCTCCTCCGGCACCTAGCACATGGCTTTGCAGGTAGCCTATAACCCAATACCAGATGGAAGTTTCAACACATATTGTGAAACTGCTATGTAACAGGACCAGAAATGGTTACTGAGAATACAGAGATGAAAATGTACTGTCTCTGCCCTCAAAGAGCTTACTATCAAGGGGAGAAGACAAATATGTCAACAAACAACTATAATTCAGGAGATGAGTTTTTAACAGTGGTGTTAAAAACAGCAGAGTTTTGAACAGGCAAAGTGGCATGGAAGCACAGAAGAGGAAGTGACAGGCTACCTTACAAAATTGGGTCCTAAAGGAGGAATGAGAATTCAGCAAAGGAGGAATGGGAATTCTAAATAGAAAGAATGGCAGGATACCAAAGCACAGAGGCATGAGAACATGGTTTGTTAGGTGAAAATGACTGCTTCTGAGTAGCTGGAGCATAGTAAGGATAAGAAGTTGGACTGGGAAGGGAGTAGTAAATAAGGAAGAATAAAAGTGAGGGTAGTAATAATGAAGATGAAAACACCACTGTGGCTGGATTCCAAGGATTTGGCATCTTGAGTTTAAGGTTAATTCCTGACATGAATCAGATAATCCAGATAGATATTCTTTTTCTGTGTTTTCTTTATTAAACATCAATGAGAAAAACATCAATGAGAGAAAAACATCAATGAGAGAGAAACACAGATCAGCTGCCTCCTGCACACCCCTTACTGGGGCCCGAGCCCTCAACCCCTGACCAGGAATCAAACTGATAACTTGGTTCATGGGTTGACGTTCAACCAACTGAGCCACACCGACCAGGTCAGATAAATATTTTTGATTTTTATTTATTTTAAAAAATTTTTCAGTAAGCCTCTACTATGTGCTAGGCACTATTCTAGGAACTAGCAATACAGCAGTGATTAAGAATTAAAGGTCCAAGCTGTCATGGAGCTTTCCTAGTCATGGAGAAGGCAGGTAATATACAAATGAAGAAATACATTTCAGATCATGATAAGTGACACAAAGGAAGTAAAACAAGGCAGTATGATAGAAAAATGACTGGATGGGGGAATTATGAGATAGGTTGGGCCAGGGAAAGCTCACCAAGGAAGTGGCATGTGAGCGGAATGAAGTGTCAGCTGGGGAAAAGGCTGAGGGAAGAACGTAGCGAGCAGGAGAAATCTCAAGAGTAGAGACCCTGCGGAGGGTCCAGACAGCTTGGAGGACCCAGGGACAGAAAGAAGGCTGGTGTGTTAGGGCACAGCGGGCACAAGGAGAGCTGCCAAAGTCAGAGTGTAGGCAGAGGCCAGGTCACGGAGGGATTTGAAAAATGAGGTACAGGGTTTGGATTTTATTCTAAGCGCAATGGAGAAGTTTTAAGCAGGGAAGTGACATGACCTGATTTGCATTTTTAAAGCTAACTCTGCTGGCTCTTCTTTCCCACCTTTGGGTGGATATAGTGCCAGCTGCCATCGTCCTGTGGGACCCAAGTTATTTGGCACTGTTCTCTGGCAGCCTAGCTACATCTTCACAGACCTATAGAAAGAAGTCTCTGAGGACAAACTGCTTTTTGGAAGTCCCCCTGAGCATGGAGGAGGCAGGAACAGTAGTTCCATTCTTGGTGCTTGGTTAGTGGTCACACCTGCAGTAGAGGAGACCTCTGGCTGGTGGCAGAGCTTAGGACCTGAATGAAGGATGATACCACTCCATGTCTTCCACTGAAGACACTTTGTCCCCACGCAGCTTCCCTCACAAGGGCTCTGTGAAATTGAGCTATATGTTCCCCCATCCTGGTTTTCTGATTTTCTGTGTGCATTTTGTCCTGGGAAGAGAGAGCCTACCAAGGGAGAAAAAAAGACTTCAGAATATTAACATAGTCACATAAGAACCCATACAAATCAATACAGGATCTTCCTAAAGTGAGCTTCACTTTAAGAACCTCCATTCAGCCCTAGCCAGTCAGGCTCAGTGGTTAGTGTCAGCCTGCAGACTGAAGGGTCCTGGGTTCATTTCTGGCCAAGGGTTCAATCCCTGGCCCCAGTGGTCAGGGCTAGTGTGGGAGGCAACTAATCGATGTGTCGCTCTCACATCGATGTTCCTCTCTCCCCCCTCCCCCACGCTCTCTGAAAAACAATGGAAAAAATATCCTTGGGCCAGGATTAAGAAAAAAAGAAACTCCATTCACTCATTCACAGATATTTATTGAGTACCCATGATTTACCAGGCATTATTTGGGAGTGTTAAGGATAGGCCAACTATATGCACAATATCTGGAGATCCAAAGGAAGATGTTTTAAAATAATAGGTTTCAAATAAATATTTGTTACATGGCTAAGCAACCCTGGCTTGGCTGAAGGGTGGGAATAGAATGGAGGTTGTTCACTTTACAAATAAATGAACTCTGACAGCTCCTTTAAATAAGACTTTCCTCCTAATGTATCCAAATTGGACCCAGCTTTAAAGAGTCAATTTGTTCACCTCTTTCAGGACATCATCAAGTAAAGGCAGTGTATGGCAACTATAGTTAATAATGCTGTATTGCATATTTGAAAGTTGCTGAGAGATTAGATTTTAAAAGTTATCACAAGAGCCCTGGCCGGTGCAGCTCAGGTGGTTGGAGTGTCGTCCCATACACCAAGGTGGCAGGTTCAATTCCCAGTCAGGAGGTGACACAAAACCTTTGGCAATACAATGTAATAAGGGCTCTAATGGAGATACAGAAGCCTGGAAGAAGGAAAAGCTAACTCAGAGGCCATGAAACAGATCATAACAAGAACCTAGGCTATCTGTCTTGTCCCTAGCACAGTGCTTGTGACAGAATTGGCACTCAGTAACCCTTGGGTGAATGAAGGATGTAGCAATTACCTTGACCATGGAAAAATAAACTTGTTAAATAAAAGTGGGTAGAAAGTGGGCATTAGAAGAAACAATCTGTGCAGAGACATGGGGGAAAAAGAGCTCAGCACACTTGAAGAAAGAGGGAGCTTAATGTGGCATGAGGGGTCCAGGAAACCAGAACTGGTAAGGATGAGAGTATGGAAGAGGGGTTCTCTGCCTCAAATCTCCGCAGAACTCTCAAAAGGCAGAAGGAGTTGGCTTGCTCTGCGCAGCCCTGGGGACAGAGCTAGGAGCAAATGCAGGGAGTCCAAGAGAATCAGATTTCAGTTAACTTTCTAACAGAGCTGTCCAACAGTGCAATGGGCTGCCTTGGGAGGCAGTGCGCGAGTTCCCTCAGAGGGAGGCAAGCAGGTCCCAGACTAACCTGGTGAAACAAATTACTATGCGTAGATATGATTTTTTTTCCTGTCTAGATTTTGGAAGAATTTATCAAATCTCATTGCTTAAAGGATATGAGATAATATATGGACAACAGTCTTCAACAGCAGCTCTACAGAAGGCACAGAAACTTTCCTCAGATGCTTGTTTATGCCAATCATTGATTAAAACTGAAGGCAATAGGGGTGCTGTAGACTCTCCCATGAAAGGATAATATCTTTCAAATCACAGAGGTCTACACTCATTCATGAAGCAATTATTTATTCAGTATCTTTGTGTGTTAGGGACTTTGCTAAGTGCTGGAAATATAGATAGAAATGAAAAAGACCCCTGACCTCACAGTGCAGGGTAGAAATGAAAATATATATTTACACTCCAATAGCTACAATACAAAGTGCTACCCAAAATTCACTTTGCTAAGGGGTTCAGAGAGGGCCTCAGAGAGGAAGTGACTCAGAGGTGATGTTTTTAATTATTAAATTTATTGGGATAACATTGGTTAATAACATTATGTAAATTTCAGTGTAGTCTCCTTCCATCACCATGTATTTGACCCCCTTTACCAGAGTGGAAGAGAAGGAGGGTGGGGAAGGGTGAAGAGAGCTGAATTTTGAAAAATAAAAAGGAATTCACTTAATGAAAGAGGAGAAAGATAGTCCAGGCAGAAGGGAAACATAAGCAAAGCTATGGAGGCATGAAAATGCAATGCCACTTGGGGAGGTGAATGGTTGGTAAAGTACAGGGTAGGTGGTAACAGTAAAGAGAAGCCAAGATGTGCATGGTTTTGAATCCAATGCTAATGATTTTTTTGTTTTAATCTTTAAGTCATAGGAAGCCAATGATGGGCTTTTTTTCTGTTATTCATTCACTTAAAATTTTTATTTTGGAAGAATTTTAGATTGGCAGAAAAGTTACAAAGATAGTACAGAGTTCCTGTCCAAGAACCATACAGGATGGGCAAAAGTAGATTTACGGTTGTGAGTACACAGAACACAGTTTATTCTTGCATTATTGTTTGTTAATTATTGTGTTCTTTTCCTACTTTTGCT